CAGTGGGGCTGCTGTAGGTACTGTGCCCCATGGGCTGTGTGCCCCCTGGCTGATACAGACCTCATGCCCCATAGGCCCTGTGCCCTCTGGTGGGGCCACGTTGGCCTCCCACCCCACAGCTCCCATGCCCCCCCAATGGGGCTGGTGTTGTTCCAGGCTGTGCTGTGCCCCATTCCCTTGCTGTGGTGAATTCTGCTCTTCCTGCCCTGCTGACAGCTTGCTGGGTGCTGGGCAGCCATGAGGAGCTCCGCTCTGTGCTCTCAGTGCTGCCCTCCCCAGCAGCAGCCCCTGATCTGAAGGGCCGTCGCCTCCCGTCGCTCTGACGCAGCCCTGAGGAACGCCGTCCTGTGACCAAGGGCTCAGCTCATAACACCTGGCTGTTGTAGGGCGGAATTCAGCCCCGCAGCAGTTTGACATCAGTGCGTCACTCTGGTGGGGAACAGGACGGCGTTGGGAAGCAGATGGGATCACAGCTGAGGTCCCACACCTGTGAGCTCGCTGGGGACGTGTGGCACAGCCCCACACCTGCGCTGCCCTCCATCCCAGCAGAGCTCTGGACGGGTGGTGAGCAGCGCTGCGCTCGTGCTTGGAAAATGAGTCGTTCCCTTTGCAGCCCTGACTCACCAGCCCCACGCTGCTCGTGTTTTCCACCTGCAATGTGCTGCTGGCCGGGAGCTGTTTGTAACTCACAGGGAGAGCACAGAGCTCCGGGACGGAGCTGACGTCCCAACCCAGAGACCCACTGTGAGCACACAGCTCTGCTTCCTCGCTGGGTAACCGCGCCGCTCGCTTTCTGTTTTATTTCTTGTCACCTCGAGCCGTTTTGCTCTGCGTTCTCTCAGGGTGGGGGCTGCAGGGAGGCAGCACCGATCCTCAGCCCTGAGTTCAACCCCGCACCCCACAGTGTGTGCAGCAGGGCGAAAGCAGCAGCGGCTTCCACAGCGCTGCATCCCTCAGGGAGGAGCAGCCCCACAGCCTGCGGCTGAGCTCGCGGTGCTGAGCAGACGGGTTGGGCTGGTTGTGCTGCTGGGAGCTGAGCTCCATCCTACGCCAACCTGCGGCTCTGCTGAGCTGCTGCTGAGCTGCTGCTGTGCTGCTCGGTGGGGGCAGCAGGGTGGGCAGCGCCGGGGGCTCTGCTGTCACCTCGTGGCTCCATGGTCGGTGTTGCAACGCCGGGGGGAAATCTCGTGATGAGCCGTGGTGAAAACGGTTTCTTTTTCTATAAGCTCAGCTGTTGAACTCTGACCGTTGTGGGGTTGGTCGTCAGGGGGCTGCACGGGGCTGTGCGGGCTGGGATTCGGGGTTCTTGCTTGGGATTTGAGGTTCTTCCTTTGGATTTGGGGTTCCTGCTTGAGATTTGGGTTTTTTTTCATGGGATTTTGGGTTCTTGTTTAGGATTTGGAGGCCTTGCTTGGGATCTGGAGTTGTTGGTTGGGATTTGGGGTTCTTTTGTGGGGCTTGGGGTTCTTTCCTGGGATTTATGGTTCTCGCTTGGGATCTGAGGCTCTTCCGTGGGACTTGGAGTTGTCGCCTGGGATTTGGGGGTTCTTCCTTTGAATTTGAGGTTCTTCCCTGGGGTTTGGTGTTCTTACTTGGGATTTGGGATGCTCAGGGTTTGGGCCCCCTCCACGTCTGCCCTCTGCAGTGTGAGCCGATGGGGTGGGAGCACAGAGCCCTACCAGCACTGCTGGGCTCTGCCTCTGCTTCACACAAAGCCGCAGCAGCGCTCCCATAGCGGGGGAAGGTTTCCTCTCCCAGCTCTGTGCCCTTAGCAGCGCTTTGTGGCAGTGGCTGCTGCTGGAGCTGCCCGTGGGTCTGGAGGCAGATGAGTGGAGACGGAGCTGAGCTGGGGGGCAGCTGTGCTGCTTTGCTTCCACGCCTCCGGGCTCAGCAGGGGAAAATGCGGACGCTTTGTGGGGTTTCTGTTCTGCCAGGAGCGGGGCAGCGCTGCAAACTGCACTGCGAGCTCCAAAGTGCCCCATGTGCGACTGAGCGCTGTGTGACCCACAGGTGAGATGTGACCGTGGGCGGGAGCAGCAGCTGAGATGCATTCGAGCCACGCTGATGACCCCAAGGAAGTCATCCAGGTGAGCTGTGCTCCCGGCCCTCCAGCACCGGGGACCCCAGGCACTGCTGAGACGTGGTGACGCTCCTGGCTGGTTCTTGCACCCCTCTGCAGCTGTGTGTGGGATGCACAAACCCTGCAGGATGTGGGCATGGTGCTCAGCCCCACTGCTGGGGGTGCGGCAGCGCTGTGTGCGCCTCGCTGCCCTGCTGCAACGTGTGGCACGCAGCTTTGTTTGCACTCTGTCACTGCATTAAGGCTGACAGATCAGGGGCAGCTGGGGAGCACGGGGCTGCGCTGCAGGGTTTGGGCACGTGGCCTTCAGCTACGGCTGCAAACCTCGCTTGGGTGCTGGCAAAACATTCAGGGCTGAGGATTCAGTGCAAGAAAACATTCAGTTGGGAAAGGCTTTGCTGTGCACTCTAAAACCCCAGAAACCCAATGAGCCCCAAACCGTGAGCTGTGGGAAGGGCACTCAGCATCCGTGACTCATTTACAAAAGCCAGATGGACTCTGATGCCAAGAGAGCGAGTCCCCAGCACGAGTGGGTCAGCTGCACTGCTCACCGGCTGCACCTGCAGAGCACACGGATGGCAGGAGCTGCACAGAGCCTCTGGATGAGCGTGGCAGCTTGGCATCCCAGTTGCTTGCAGCCCTACATCCCAGTTGCTTGCAGTCCAGAACCGCCGTAGATTGCAGCTCAGCTTCCTGGTTGTTTGCAGCCCAGTGTCCCAGTTGCTCGAAGCTCAGCTTCCCAGTTGCTTACAGCCCAGTGTCCCCCAGTCTTGCAGCCCAGCATCCTGATTGCTTGCAGCCCAGTTTCCTGCAGCCCGGTGTCCCTTAGCTTGCAGCTCAGCATCCCAGGTGCTTGCAGCTCGGTGTCCCCATCGCTGCCCTTTTTTCTGACCCTACAATCTAACCCTGCGCCTCCCGTGCCGCAGCTGATCAAGAAGCAGCTGGTGAGCTCCATCAAGGCCCTGCAGAAGCAGTACGTCTCCTCGGACGCCGTGGTGACCAGCGATGACGGGAACGCCAACACCCTGTGCAGCGCCCTGGAGGCCGTCTTTGTGCATGGGCTGAAGGCAAAGCACATCAGGACAGAGGCAGGGGGCAAAGGGAGGAAAGCAGGCGGCCGGCTGCTGCTCCCCCAGCCCGTCTTCTGGGCCCTGCTGAAGAGCATCACGCACCGGTGCGTTGCCACGCTCGTTTCTGTGCCCTCTGAGAGGTCGGGTGGCTGGCAGGGAGCTGCCTGTGCTCTGTGCCCTTCGGCTCGAGCCGTGTGATCTCAGAGGGCGTTGGGTCCTGAAAGGTGTGCGCAGGAGAGCGTGGTGCACCTGGGGGTGTCCCCCAAAACAGCATCCCATACAGAGAGGTCTGAGATCCCCCTGGCCCCATCAGCTGCTGATGAGCAAATACGGAGCGGATGATGAGAGCGCTTTGGTGCTGTGCAGGGTGGCTCTGTGCCCTCCCAAGGTGTTTCTCCTCTGCCCCTCAAAGACAGCAAAGCTGTTCTCTTTTTCCCAGCAGTGAGCTGGGGGCAGGCAGCATTTGGGGAAAAAGCAGCTGAAATGAGGGCAGTGGGGGTGGTTGGAGCACGCAGCGTTTCTGTGTTCCTTCTGCCTTACTGTGGCATCAGACGCACGGTGGACCCCGATGGGTGACACCAATGGGCTTTTCACTCCCTTCCCCACATGGGAGCAGGGAAGATGCCTGCAGCCAGAAGGAGGCCTGAGGAGTGGCTGAACCTGATGTGTTTGTTTAGGGGGAGTTCAGGAGCTGATGTTTCCCCATAGGAAACCACAGCCTCTCAGCCCCCGCCGCCCGTCACGCAGCGCTGTGGGAGCGCATCCCTCACATCCCGCTCTGTTTTTCTCTCTCCCCTTCCCCCCAGGAACATCATCTCAGAGCTGGAGCAGCTCATTTTCATCACCACGGACGTGGGCCGCTGCCGGGCCTGGCTGAGGCTGGCTCTGAACGACGGATTGCTGGAGTGCTACCTGAAGCTGCTGCTGCGTGAGCGCTCCCGCCTGCCCGAGTTCTACCAACCCGCGGCGCTGCTCCTGGACGCCGAGGAGTGCGAGTTCCTCCTGAGCTACCTGCAGGGCTTGTCGTCCCTCACCTTCCAGCTGTCCTACAAGTCAGCAGTGCTCAACGAGTGGACCGTCACCCCGCTGTCCCTCTCGGGGCTGTGCCCTGCAGCCGAGCTGCTGGAGCCCCCGACGGCCGAACCTCAGAGAAAAGCATCCCTGGGCTCCATCTCCCAATCTTCAGGCTCCGATGAGATTGAAATCCAGCCCTCAGCGCTGCCCATCGGCAAAGCAGGCGACAAACCCAAGCGGACATCGTCCTCGCTGAGCCTGAACACCACGGGTTCGTCGCAGCTGTCCTCCAGCCTGGGCTCTGACGGCGTGCAGCCCCACTGCGCCCGCAGCCCCGAGCGCGGCGATGAGCCGCTGTCCTGCGACTCCGACGTGGGCACGGCCACGGCCGAGGACCTGGACAGGTCGCTGCAAGAGTGAGTCCCCCTCCTCACCTCTCATTTTCTCCCTGCGGGCACTCTCTGTTTAATGAGTTTGGGAGCAGCCTGAAAGGCAAAAAGCAGCAGCACGACCGTTTCTTTAAGCGTGTTTTGGCCGGAGCTCAGCCCAGGCTCATTAGGAGCTTTGGAGCACTTGAAGCTGATGCTGCTAATTGCTCAGCTGTTTCCCATGGCTTAGAGCTCTGCTCTTCCCGTTGCTCGCAGCGCTGTCACCTGCTCGTGGCACTGGGCAGGGACGATAATCCTGGTGCAGAACCCGTGACTCAGTTCTCAGCCTGACCCCGGGTTGGTCTGAGCAGGCTGTGCTGATTTGGGGCCATGGGAACGCCTGCGAACTGCTGTCGAGAGCGCAGCTGTTTGGCAGCAGCTGGGACCCATTAGCTCACCCTGTCAGCTAATTAAAATCCCCTCACGTCGTTAGGAAAGGCATCCTTTGCAGGTCTTTGCCCTGAGGTTGTGCACCCCTCTTTCTGCTTGACGTGCCTCCAGCAGAGCGATGCTCACTGCTGCTTCTCTTTGAAGGGTGCTCTCTGAGTTCAGGAGAGCTGAGCCGAGCATTGGTGCCCCATCGGAGCGGCCGATCCCTGCTGTGCTGGGCTGCTCCCCACCACCCCCCGAGGACGCCCACCCACCGCCTTCCCCACCACCAGCCGAGGCCTGCAGCGCTCCGCAGGAGGAGGACAGCATCCCGACCCCACAGCACGTGGATGGGGGGAAGGAAGGCCGCGTGGCGCGCAGCCCTGCTGCCAAATTCCTCTGCTCCCCGCTGCCAGGCTGCCCGGTAGGTGTCACAGCTCACGGTGCACAGGATCCTCGTGTCCTTCCTGATTGAATGGGGAAGAGAGGTGAAGTGGGTGGCGGTGTTGCTGGGCTCGAAGCACTCATCCCCAGAGCTGCCAGCAGCACTTGTGGTGTAAATAATGCCCAAATCCATTCCCAGCATCCCAGATCCCACTGAGCCACCGTGGGTCTGAGCAGTGCCATGAGTGCCCACGTGCTGGGGGTGCACTTCCCACCCCCCTGAGCATCTCTCCCTTGGGTTCCTTTGGCTCATTCCCAGCTCTCCCGTCTCCTCCACTTCCTCCTGGCTCGGGGCCAGCCTGACTAATCTATGGATAACATATGGTGTCAACAGGAAACCCCCTCCTGCTCTGACATGACTCACAGAGCAACCTGCATTCCTCAGCCCGGGGTAAACAGGGCCCTCCCACACCTCCCGCTCTTCGCTGCCGATTCCCACCATGGTTTTGTCTGTGGTTGGGATAAAATGCTCTTGGCAGGCAAAGAAGGGTCGGTGCTGGTAGGAGCCCACGTTATTGCACTTGGGTGCTGCAGGGCTGCACTCCTCCTCCTGAGCCCCTCTGTGCTTTACGGGAAGAGAACCAACCCGAGGGTGTTTGTGTGCTTTCACATCCCACCACTCCATTGCAGTGGAGCCCCTCAGCAGTTGGAGGGCGCCATGCGTTGTGCTTTGCAAAACCAGGAAGTGGTGTGGAGAGGAGAGCTGGGCAGCAGCCAGGTTTGTCGGGAAGATGGAATCATAGAGTCAGTAAGATTGGAAAAGACCTCGAATATCCAACCATCAGCCCATCCCCACCAAGCCTGCTAAACCACGTCCCCAAACAGAACCACAGAACTGTGAAGGTTGGAAAAGACTCCGAGATCCCCAAGTCCAAGCGCAGCGCGTCCCCACCGTGCCCACTTGGAGAATCATCCAGGATGGAAGAGGCGGTTGGATTTGGTGATCTTGGAGGCCTTTTCCAACCTGAATGATTCTGTGGTAGGGACAGGTTGGGGTTGGACTTGGGGATCTTGGAGGTGCACCCATCCCACCACGCTCATTCATTGAGTCGTTAAGGTTGGAAAAGGCTTCCAAGATCTCCACGTCCAGCCCCAACCCGTCCAACTGTGCCCACGTGTAGAATCATTCAGGCTGGGGAAGACCTCCAAGATCTCCAACCCCAACCATCCACCCAGGCCCTTGCCCCCATGCCCACCAAATCGTGCCCCCCTCTCGTGTCCCTGCTCTGCAGACACAGCCTGGATGTGCCCAAGCAGCCCAGGTGGCTGCGCTGTGTGCGCAGGCTGACGGTGGATGTGTGTGTTTGAGTTGGTTGATGGATGTTGGTTTCTGTCACATCTTTCTTGTAACAGAATAGGAAGAGCTGGATTTCGGAAGACGATTTCTACAGACCTTCAGCAGGAGAGAGCGATGAAATCCCAGCTGACGCCAACGGCTTTGTGCCAGATGGGGCCGGGGAGGGCCCGACCTCAGGGCTGCTCAGTGCTTTGGATTTGGAAAGGTCGTCCCCACCGTCCTCGCAGGGCCCCAGGCTGTCCCCCGAGCGAGAGCAGAAGGGTTTCAGTGTCGTGCATCGCCGGCAGATGGGTGCGTGAGCCCCGCTGTGGGACCAGTGGGGAAGCAGAGCTGTCCCCATTTGGGGTCAGCACATCGCTGGGTGCTGGCAGTGCTGAAAGCCCCACAGGTGGTGCTCCTGTGGCCCTGCTGAGCCCATGGGCACTGCTGGGGCACGAGAGGGAACGGGATGTGGCACAGATTTGCTTTACACCCCCCCCTCTCATCCTTTGCTTCCATACCAAGAGCATATGGAGCATGGCGGGGCCCAGCAAGCCGGTCCTGCAAACTCCTGCCCTTCCCTTATTCCACTGGGATCCCCTTCCATATTCCACCAGGATCCCCATCCCATTTTCCACCAGGATCCCTATCCTATATTCCTCTGTGATCCCCATCCCAATATTCCACCATGGCCTGCTCCCCATCTCGTATTCCACTGGGATCCCCATCCCATATTCCACCAGGATCCCCTTCCCATCTCCCATCAGGATCCTCATCCCCTGCTCCACCGAAGCCTTGGTGCCTGTGCTTGCACACTGTGAGCCGCCTCCTGGTTCTCCTCCGTCCCCACCTAGGTTCCTGCTGAGCCGTCCCCTTTTCCCCCAAGGTCTCTCCAACCCTTTCCGGGGCCTGCTGAAGCTGGGCAGCCTGGAGCGGCGCGGAGCCATGGGCATCTGGAAGGAGTTCTTCTGCGAGCTGTCGCCGCTGGAGCTGCGGCTCTTCCTGGACCACGAGGATCGCAGCTGCGTGGAGAGCTTCTCCCTGCTGCGCTGCGAGTCGCTGGCGCTGACGCATGCGGATGGACGCTTTGAGCTGGTGTTCCTGGGGAAAAAGCTGTGCTTGAGGGCTCCTTCCCGGGACGAGGCTGAGGACTGGCTGGATCGGATCCGCGAGGCGCTGCGCAAGTGCCGCCCGCAGCTGGAGGAGGAGGAGTGGGAGACGCTGGCGTGCCCCGAGGACGGGGGGGATGGCGGCGAGCCTGCTGCTCCGCTCCAGTGTGAAGCGCCTGGGAACGGCTTGGACTGGACTTTATCCCACAAACCAGAGCTGGATGCCATCAAAGAGTCCGTTCTGTACGCGGACGTAGATAAGACGTGGGTCCCTTTTATCTTCTCCCTCTCGTTGGAAACCTTGAAGTGCTTTAAAGTGCGGAACAACGACAAAATCTTAAGCAACAGTTACGGCATAGAGACGATCCAGGACATCCTCCCCGACACCAGCCTGGGGGGACCCTCCTTCTTCAAGGTGATCACCTCCAAAGCTGTGCTGAAACTGCAGGCTGAGAGCGCGCAGGAGGCTGCGGCGTGGAGGGAGCTGGTGCGAGCGGTGCTGGGCTCCTACCTGGAGGCAGCCGAGGAGGCACTGACCCTGGGGGGCAGCTTGGACGGCCATTCCCAGGTGCTGCTGAAGAGCATGGTGAAGGAGAACGGCTTCTTGTTGCAGTACCTGGTGGCCATCCCCGTGGAGAAGGGGTTGGACTCGCAGAGCTTCATCTGCGCAGGTAGATGGGGCCGGTTGGCAGTGAGGAACCCAGCTCTGCGTCGAGTTCGTTCAGGTTAACGAGGCTGTGGCGTAGCCCCTCTGCTGGGCTTCGGCCCCCAAATTTTGTGGTGTCTTTGGCACAGGGAGAATCCCCCAGCACCCCAATCTCCGTCCCCATCCCACCCATCTGCTGGGTTGCTGCCCAGGAGATTTGCGCTGTAGGCAAAAGATGGGCTCTCAGCAACCTCGTGTGGAGCTGATGGACCCCCATCGAGGGCGTCCAGTGCCCCCAGCCCACAGGGAAGACTGGCTCAAGGCAAACCCGTGGAGCAGGGCAGTTTTTCCAGTAAGGCAGCTCTGGGTGTGACCAGCTGCTTCATGCGACCTTCCAGCAACGCCTGGTTTAACAGCACAACACCCACTGACCTCTGCGAGCTGTAATTTGTTCTGTACCTCGCTGACATAATTAAGCTTCAGCTTTTCTCTTGTTTCACTTGTGTTTCTCATCCCCTCCAGCAGGTTCTACCTTAATCTTTTTTTCCATATTTTCCATTTTTCGGTCCCTGCCTTCCCCCCAGGCTGTGTCCTTCCACCTACCAACAAAGGGAAGCAGCAAGTTGAGGAGACCCGTCTTCCTTCCCCGTTTCTTTGCTTTGCTTTTCCTTAGGTGTCTGCTGCCTTCCAGCCCTGATGCCCCTTAGGACAGCAGTGGTTTCCCAGTGTGCCAGGGTAGAACAAGAAATATAGGCTTCTTTGTTTGATATTCAACACCTGAGCTCCATAGAATGTTGGCAGTGGACTCCAGATTGCAAAGAAGTGGATGGGGGTGATGGGGTGGCCTTGGCTCTTCCTGGGGCAGACACGGACCCACCGACGCCGTGTTGGGTGTTTTGGAGAAGGGAACCCATTAAAAATAGTTGGAAGGGACCTCAAAGATCGAAGAACCGTGGAATTGTTGGGTTGGGTTAAGTAGGGTTGGGTTGGAAAGGACCTGGAGGGTTGTAGAGCCATGGAATTACAGCATGGTTGTGTTGAAGGGGCCTCAAAGATCACAGAACCGTGGAATTACGGCCCGGTTGGGTTGGAAGGGACCCTAAGGAGCACAGAATGATGGAATGGTTGGGTTGTGTTGAGTAGGGTTGGTTGGGCTGAGTAGGGTTGTGTTGGGAGAGACCTTCAGAATCATAAAACCATGGAATGATTGGGTTGGGCTGAGTAGGATTGGATTGGTGTCATCTAAATAAAGACCATCGTAACGATTTATGGATTACAGCCGAGATGGGCTCAGGAATGGCTGCGATGCCTGCTGTGCAGGGTTGCTCCGTCCTGCTCTGGCCGACTGGAACATGCTTCACCCCATGTCCACCCCCTTCCCAGGTTTTCCTGCCCCACGTCTCACCCCTCATCCCCCCCCAGCTCCCCTCTGACTTCCTGTTCTCTGTTCCCCCAAGGCTGCTCCAGGCAGATCGGCTTCTCCTTCGCCAAACCCAAGCTCTGTTCCTACTCCGGCCTCTACTACTGCGACAGCTGCCACCGGGACGACGAGGCGCTCATCCCCTCACGCCTCATCCACAACTGGGACCTGAGCAAGAGAGGGGTGAGGAGGATGGGGCCGAGTGTGGGGGCGGCCCTGCAGGGCCCTCTGGGTGACCGTCCCCCTCCCTCTGCCGCAGGTTTGCCGTCAGGCGCTGAAGTTCCTCACCCAGATCCGCAAGCAGCCGCTGATCGATCTCAAGTTGGTCAATGAGAGCCTCTACGACCATGTGGAGAGGATGAGGCGCGTGCGGCGGAGCCGGGAGCAGCTGAAGCTGTTGGGGGATTACCTGAGCGTGTGCCGCAGCGGGGCCCTGAAGGAGCTGAGCAAACGGTGAGCAGCCCAGCCGCCTTCTGCTGGGTGGCACCTTGCTCCGTCTGTCGCCGCTGCTGCCGTGCTGGGGTTGAAAGGGACCTCAGGGGTTGCAGAATTACGGAATCGCAGCACGGTTGGATCGGAAGGGAGCTTAAAGATTGCAGGATTATGGAGTTGTGGCGCAGTTGGGTTGGAAGGGACCTTAAAGGTGGTAGAGCCATGGAATCGGGGCACGGTTGGGTTGGAAGGGACTCGGAGATCACAGAGCCATGGAGGTAGGGCACAGGGTTTGAAGAGACCTCGCAGGTCACAGAACCGTAGGACTTCCTCCCCACATCCGAGCCCAGTTTCCCCTCTCAGTTGGAAGCTGTGCCCCCTGTGCTGCCCCCACCAAACCGCGCTGTTTCTGGACCCCCGAGTGCTGGCAGCCGTTCCATGGGACGCGGGCTGGTTTCCCCTCCCTGCCATCAGCTGGAGGAAGCTCCCCGTGTGTCCGTGGGGCGGCGCGTGGAGATGGGCCGGAGGAAGCGCTTTCCTGGCCGGGGCTGGACAGGAAACACCTGGGCAAACAGATGGGAGATTGCTTTTCCCCCTTTTGAAATGCTCCCAAACAGTTTTCAATGGCAGGATCTGCGATGCGTCGCTTGGCGCCGTGTCAGGGTTGCAATCACCCGGAGCCTTCATCCCCTGGGCTCCTCCTCGCCCCTCCAAGACATGGGAAGCTCCCACTGAGCTCCTCTCTGTGCTCATTTGCAGCCTGGATCACAGGAACTACCTCCTGGAGTGCCCCCACAAGTACAGCGTGGCCGACCTGCAGCAGGTGAGCAGCCCGTGCTGGAGGAGCTTCCGTGGAGGGGCTGCGTCCAGTGGGGCCTCCGCCAGCAGCACGACTCACTGCGCTCTGCTCCTCCTCACTTGGCTTCCTGTCGTCACTGCAGCTTAGGGGATGAAATCATGGGGGTGGGGTGGGATGGGATTAAGGTGGGTGGGGGTGGGGTTGGGCTGAGGTGGGATGGGGTTGGGATGAGATGGAAATGGGGGTGGAGTTGAGGGGTTGGATTGGAGTGGGATGGGGTGAGTTGAAATGGGATGGGATGGGGTGGGAAGGGAGTGGGATGGGGTTGGTTGGGCTGGGATTAAAGTGGGTGGGGGTGGGGTTGGTTTGAGGTGGGATGGGGTTGGGATGGGATGGATGGAGTTGGGTTGGATTGGAGCGGGGTAGATGGAGTGGCGTTGGAATGGGTAGAAATGGGGTGGGAGGTTGGGGGGGGTTGGGTTGGGATGGGGGGGGGGGGGGGGGGGTGGAATGGGATGGATGGAGTTGAATGAGGTTGCGTTGGATCAGGATGGGTTGGGATGGAGTGGGTTGAGTGGGAATGGGATGAGATGGGATTGGGTTGGGGTGGGTGGTGGGATGGGATGGGATGGGGTTGGGTTGGGACTTTTTGGGATGGTGTTGAGGTGGGATGGGGTTGGGGTGGATTGGATTGGGGTGGGATGAGTGGGGTGGGATGGGAGTGGGATGGGTGGAGTTGAGGGGGATTTGGGTGGGATTGGGTTGGGGTGGGTTGGGTGAGACGGGGTGGGTTGGAGGGACCTCGTGCTCCAGGAGCTCCGGGGAATCATTGCACCCCCACGCGACCCAGCCCTGCTGCAGCTCCAGAGCTGGGCCCCAAGCAGCACTCAGTGCGTCCTGCAGCCGACATCGCTGACCCCTATGGCAGCCGCCCACCGCGGCCCTGAGCCCCACGCGGGCACACAGAGCTGCAGCGGCCCTGTGGGGCGTTTTGTCGGCGAGTCACGAGCCCAGCTGTGCTCTGCAGATCTCCGACGGCGCCTTCGAGCCCTTCCTGCTCTCGCTGATCCATTTTGCGTCGCACCACGTCTACAGCTGTGAGCTGTGCACACAGCGGGGCTTCATCTGCCAGATGTGCAGCAGCAGCGACATCATCTTCCCCTTCCAGCTGGATTCCACCTCCAGGTTGGCTTCGCCAGCGGCGTGCGGAGCGGCTGCGTTGCCAGCAGTGCTGCTGTGGGGCTGCTCGCCGTTCTGGGTCGCACTGTGGCGTTCTGTGGGGGTTTGGGGCAGCCCGGGCTGGGGGGTCGCTCTGGAAAGGGGCTGAGGAGCCGCCCAGCCCTGCAGGCACCCAAACCACGCTGTGTTCTTTTGTTTTGTTTTGTTTTTTTCCCAGATGCAAAGACTGCAAAGCTGTTTTCCACCGGGAATGCTTCGACAGCAGCACTGCCTGCCCGCGCTGCGAGCGGCGGCGGCGCTACCGACAGGAACAGCAGGAGGAGGAGGAGGAGGAGGAAGGCGGCGCGGGGCCGATGCCATAGAGCCAGCAGCCATCCCAAAGGCGGTGGCAGATGATGCCCCAAAAGCACGTGGTGCACAACTGGCCGTCGGCCCAGGAGCTGTTGGGCAGCATGTGGCACTGGGGGCTGGGCCTGCGCCCAAAAGACCCCACAGCCAATGGGGGGTGGATGAGCAGGGGGGGCTGTGGGGCTGAGCCGGGGCTGTGGGGCTGCCACCACCCCACTGATGGGGACGCGGTGGCGCTGGGCGGGTTTTGGTGTCCCCATCCCTGGGGGATGTGGGGACGGGGCTCCCCAGGGCCTGCAGTCCCTCCCCTTTGGGGTTTCTGTGTCCCCCCCCCCCTTTGGGGTTTTGGTCTCTCCATCCCAATGGGGCACAGGGGGATGTGGGAGCAGGGACTCCCCCCATTTTGGGGTCAGACGTGCCAAGGGGACGCAGGCTGTGCAATGCCACCCACTGGGATCGCTGCCATCCCCCACTGCCATCGTCCCAACGTCCCCCCGGTGGCACTGGGGGGCTCACAGGCTGCGCAGTGGGGCGGCCGTGGGGCCCAGCTGCTGTCAGTGGGACCTGGACTCGAGGGCTGTGCGATGGCTGAGCTCGGGGCTTTTGTGGGTTTGGGGTTTTTTGGAGGTGCCATCGTGCCTTGGGGGGCAGAGCTGCTCTGCCTCCCTTTTAACCCCCGGCCCTTTGGGGGCCGCAAAGAGAGTTTTATTTTCCTGTCACTGTGAAAACCATGGCGGTTTGTTGGATGTTTTTCTCTGCGGCCGCCCCTCCTCGACTCACAGTGGGGTCAGCGCCCACCCCACAGCTCCACCCCACACACTGCGCCCTTTTGGGACCCCACGAGGGGACAGGCGCCATTGGGGACCCCGGGCTCAGTGCCCCCCACCCCTCCGGCCTGCATTTCCCCAACCCCTTTCCTTCCCCAGCAGTGGGACTGCGGGTCCCCCCACCCACCCCGTAGATCCACCCCACACCGGAGGATGTGATGGGGTCCCCACCAGGGGACAAACCTCACTGGGGACCCCCAGGATCAGTGCCACGAAGCCTTGCGTGCTGCCTTCCCCCACAACCCTCCAGCAGTGGGTCTGAGGGTGACCCCATCTACCCCACAGCGTCACCCCACGCTTGGGATCACAACGGGACCCAGCCCTGGAGGGGACAAACCCCATTGGAGACCCCCAGGATTGGTGCCCACCACCCCACTCTTGGGGCCACGATGGGACAAACCCCATTGGAGCCCCCTGGGGCCGATGCCGCTCCCCCTCCTCCCCCAGCAGTGGGGTGGGGGTGCCTCCATCCAGCCGCCCCACAGCTCTGCCCACAGCCCTATGGGACCCCAGGAGAGGGCCGACCCCACTGCAGCCCCCTGGGATCGGTGTCCTCTGCCCCACAGCACCACCCCACGACGGGACGCCAAGAGAGGACAAAACCCCACTGGGGACCTCCATGATGAGTGGCCCGGCCCCACGGCGCCTGCGTGCCCCCACCTCTCCCATCGCAGCAGTGGGGCTGGGTGCTCCTGCCCACCCCACAGCACCACCCCCTTCCTGGAGCCGTTTGGGCACCTCAGCAAGGAACAAACCCCATTGAGCACCTTAGGGATCAATGTTCCTCCACCCCCCACAGCGCCACCCCACATCTGGGGCTGTGTTCACCCCCTGCCAAGGGGGAAACCCCATCGGGGAGCCTCGCGATCGACATCCGCCGTCCCGCAGACCCCAAGACCCACAGGCCGAGGGACCCACAAGCAAACAAACCCCACTGGGAAAACCCCACAACCGATGTCCCCCACCCCACAGCTCCACCCCACAGCCGGAGCCGTGATGGGGCACCAAGGGGGTCGGAACCGACACCAAGGACCCCACGGCCGGCTCCCCCCTCCCCGCAGACCCCGAGGCCGCTGGGTTGGGCCCTTCCTGCCGCAGGAACCCGCCGCATCCCGTCGGCCGCCATCGCCCCATCCCTCCCTCCTGGGGAGGAGGAAATAGGTTGGGCCACGGGGCCCCAACGCGGGGCGAGCCGGGACGGGGCGCTGTGCCCTATAGGGCCGCCATGGAGGCGGAGGAGGTCTACGTCTTGGTGGAATACGGCTTTGAGTACCGCACCAAGGACGGCACCGTGGTCTCCATCCAGCCCAATGAGCGCTACGTGCTTTTGGGGCGCACCAACGAGCACTGGTGGCACGTCCGGAGGAGCGGCGATGCGCGGCCCTTCTACGTCCCCGCTCAGTACGTCAAGGAGCTGCCCCCCATGGCCGCCCCGCAGCCGCTGTACCCCGACGAGGTGGGATCCTATGGGTTCCCCACGTTACGAGTGGAGCCCAGCCCCGCCGAGAGCTCCAGGAGACAGCGGGAGGTGCAGGTATGTGACACCCCATAAGTGTCCCCACACTGGGCTTCATGTGGGGCATCAGCGACCGGTGCTCCGTGGGGCAGAGCATCTTCAGTACCCCTCACCTGGGGGTGGAATGGGACAGGGACGCGGCTCCCCAGGGTCTGGTGTCCCCATCCCATGGGGTGGCACTGGGACAGGGATGGGGGGTCCTCAAGGTTCAGTGTCCCCATCCCTGTGGGTTTCGGTTCCCCATCCCATGGGGTGGGACAGGGACAGGGCTCCCCAGGGCCTGCAGTCCCCATTCCTTTGGGGTTTCTGTGTCCCCATCCCTTTCACTTTTTCGTCTCTCCATCCCCAGGGGGCACAGGGGAACATGGGGACAGGGACTCCCCACACTTTGGGGTTGGATGTGCCAAGAGGGGACGCGGGGACAGGCAATGCCACCCACTGTGTGCAGGATGTGGGGCTGTAGGATCAGTGCTGTCCCTCACTGCCATCATCCCATATGGCACAGGGGGGCTCCCAGGGCCGCCCCGCAGTGTCGCGCAGTGGGGCAGGCTGTGGGGCCGGCTGCTGCGTTCATCCCCCCGTGGCGCTGCAGAATGGGGCCGTCGGGGTCCCTCCATCCCGGCGCTGTTATGGGGCAAAAAGAGGCAGAAAAGGGTTAACAGGGAACCGCAGCAGCTCCTCCCTTGTAGGGCGGGTGTCACCTGGGGAGGGAGGGGAGCGGGTGGGTGCCACCCCACAGAGCTCACCCACACCTGTAAGTAAGGAGGGGCCCTTCTGGAGGGTCCTTTATGTGGGGTGGGTGAGGGGCTGCTCCCTGATCCCGTTCTCTATGGGGCGTCCGACAGCGGGGTCGACCCACCTGTGGGGCACAGCAGCACCGTGGGGTCTCGCATCCTCCCCACGGCCCAGCACCTCTTTGGGATCAGCTTGCGCTTAAAGGGGGGGGGACACGAGCCAGCACCAGGACCCCAATGCCAGCCCTAAACCCAACGCCGACCCCAATCCCGATCTCAGCCCCACACCTCAATTCACACAGCCGTGGGCTCAGCCCCGCGCTCCCAGCCCCATCGCCTCAGGATTCGCCATTGGGGTTTTTTCTGCTGCGCACCCCATGCTGCTGTAGGGCTGTGCTGTGCTATGGGGCAGAGCTGTGGGGTGTTGCTGTCCCCCTGCATTCCTCGCCTTTCCCAAGCGCTGCCGGGCCGGTGACATCGCCCAGGTGGGAGAAACCCTTATGGGACATTTCCCAGCCTCAGCCCCACACGCGCAGCCCTTCTGCCCGCCCCACAGCCCTCCCAGGAGGCAATTCCGCATCTGGGGAGCGCTGCTCTTCCGCCCCATAACACCAACAGGAAGCACACAGCGCGCCCAGAGCCACAGCGGGGCCACCCAGCACCCCGACCCCATAGAGCTCCCCATAGCGCAGCGTCCCCCCTGGGACACCCCAACCCCACGGATCCCATTGGAGCATCCTGACCCCAAAGCACCGGGATGCTGCAGCGATCCCACAGCCGTGAGTGGCGGCCGCTGCACCAGGGCGAGGTATGGGGTGGGCAGGGGATGGGGGCAGCTCGCTATGGGGCGGCGTGGGGCAGCGTGGGGCGGTGGGGCCACGGCGAGGAGACTTTGTCCCCATTGCTGTCGCAGGTCGTAAAGGCGGAGAGCAAAGGGTAACTGTGGGTTGGCTGCCTCTTCCTGCTTGGGGTCACGCACCCTATAGGGATGTGTCCCTGCTGGGGTGAGGACGGGGGGCCCCTCTGCCCCCGGTGGGGTGTTGTCACCCGTGGGGACGCGGGGACAGGAAGCTGTGGGGCAGTTTCGAAGGCTGTAGGATGCAACAGGGCAAAATGGGGAAGAGACGAAAGTTGGGGCGCATGGAGCACGGGGACGGCTCCGGGGGTCCCATCCTCGATGTGGGGCTCAGGGTGGGTCGGCCCCATAAGCAGCCCCATAGGCAGCCCCATAGGCAGCCCCATAAGCAGCCCCATAGGCAGCCCCATAAGCAGCCCCACACGTCTGGGCGGAAACAGGCGGTTATTTTGGGGTGCGGTGGCGGCGCCGTCAGCCTCAGATGGATGCAGAGTGGGGAGTTGGGGGTGCAGGAAGTGGGGGGGGGGGGGGG